CCCACATTTTCACAGCACAGCGTGTGAAAAGAGAAAGTTGGGGATCTTTCGTTCATATTTTCCCTACTGAGGTTTGTCACTAGCCTGGTAACCTTTGTAAGATGCTTTACTGTCAGATGGGTAAAGATTAAGGTTTGGGATCCGTGCCCAAAGGGGCTGACTTTTACCACAGGACATTTGCGCTGAAGCTGATACTCATTGATGCTCTTTCAGATTCACATTTGTCACCGATTTAAATGTTATTTACATTTATTATTAGGAGATAGCTTTCTCATTCTAACCTGAGTATTTCTAAACTGAACAACTGAAAGACTCATCAGGTGAACTGTGGTGTCTCATTTCTATGATCTTGTGGATTGCCGGCTTGTTGGAACAAAAAGCCACTTTGTAATTTGCAGATGTTTGCTAGCAGAGCATACAGTTCAGGGAGTGAGAGGGAAAGAAGACGTAAGTGTATGTTTGAATGTGATTTGTGTGTGGGAAAGCAAGAAACAGATGTTGCTAATGCATCTCTGACAAAGCCATTACAACCACCTTTAAAAGGCTACAGGCACATAAAGGCAATTGCCGAGAGTCACAGGCTGTTTAAAATGCTCAGACATTACCATGTCACAGCTCATCGGCTGAGGCCTCATCATGGACAGCTTCATTCCAGATTTTCTTTTCGTGCAAGTGGGGCAAAATTCAGAGGAAGCCAGCACACTGAAGACACGCACATCTTTACCGCACAAACGCATGGCCACATTTATGTGCATGCTTCCTGTGTTGAGGGAGTCTTATCCTGCTTGTTAAGGGAGTCTTATCATGCTGACAGGCTGTCAAATCCTGCACGCAACGACGCCAAGGTAAATGCGTTTTAAGTTACACCATCAAGCTTTTGTGCTTACAAAGCCACTCAAATTAGCCCAGCACTGGGAAGAGGATGCTCCGCATGATCAAAGCCTAAAGTGACAGGGGTTTGACTGGAGAGTCTGGGCGGGTGCTTTTAGAAACAAAAAGGAGAAATTGCAGGGGAGGATTTATCTCAGGAGCAATTCTACCTGATCCTTGGACAGAGAAATAGAAGCAGGAGGAGAGACAAGCAGGAGCTGAGGCTAAAAGGAAAAGAGAGAGCATGAGTACTGGAGCTGGAGGGAGACCTCGATACAATTCCAGGCTGATTAATGAAGAGGCAGTGAGGTGAAATGAACAGGAAATCAAGAAGGAGGCTAAAGCCGAATCCAGGTCTTTGATCTTTTGCTTCAGTGAGACTTTAAACACTCAAAGCTGCAGCAGTGACTCACACCTGTTTCCACAGCCAGAACACACAGAGGAGATGGAGATGGAGACAGTATTTTGGGCTGTTACGCACCCAGGTCACATTCACAAAGGGAGGGAGGATATGCTGGCACATACACACATATACACAAAAACTGCGACGATATGACCCTCTTTCATCCTATCATGGCTATCCTCAGTCCAAGCACACAGTGCCAATCTGTGGTCACAAAGGGTATGACAGTAACGAGCAGAATCGAAAGATGTGTGTTTTTGTGTGTGTTTATGTGGCATTAGAATAAGAAACGCAAGGACGGACGTCAAGAAAGAGAGGAAAACCGTTCTCAAAAACATGAGCACAGCCCACAATGAGCCATGGGCCATAAATCTGATTAATAGAGTGATGTGAGAGCTAAAGCTACTGATGCTCAGACTCAGGCTATGGATCATTGAGATAAGAGCCTGAGCTAAATGTGGAGGGGCAGACAATTGTGAATGGTGTATTATCTTCTCAGCCAATGAAGCTTAGGGTGTCTGTTCTGAGCGTCAACACAGCAGACATTTCAGCTCTGCCGTGAGCTCTCATCGGGACTCATTGATAAACACTAAAACTTCAAGAAAGGCTGCTGTCATCACATCCAGTTTGTTCATTTGTATACAAATTTGCTGGCTTTCCCTCTCATTCTTCTCTATTGATGAGCGGCCACTGTGTGAGTGGACAACAAATCACAACTGAAGACATGGTTGAAAGTAGGACTATGAGCTGGTAGAATTTTTCTTTATGATCTGTTTAGGGAAGTTTAGCCGAAGGGAGACTCTCAAGGAAATAAAATTACAAGTAAAATAATAACTTTTCATTCTAGATGGCAGAGATGTATGCAATCCTAACATCTGTTACTGAAATTATTTCAGCTTTCTTTCAGGCATAACTATGATCTGACCATTTTTAAAATGCATGGATAATCACAACACTTCTTAGCCCATTGACACTCCAAGCTAATAGAATAAAAACTTTTGTAAGGGTTTTGCATGTTTGTAAAAGAGAATTTCCATTTCCCTTATTTCCCTTATCTTTTTTCTGTGATCATAACAAAGCTGCTTTGATGCCTCATTCTAACTGACTAACTTATGTCACTAATCATTGCTAAACAGTGAATAAGGTCAAATTATTTTTAGAAACAGCAGATATATAAAACACATTTCAAAGTGTTACTGAAATATGATTAAAATGCTCAACTGCCATAAGTCTGACATTTTGAGCCTTGAGTCAATGAATCTCCATCCTTCCTTACATCCTCAAGTCCAAGTCTGTTCAACTGGTCATAAATATTTCTTGATAGATAAATGGCCTAAACTCCCTCTGTGCTCTACTGTCCATCATCACAGAGGAGAGTCAGAGTGAGACCCTCCAAACTCAAGACAAAATGCTCCAGTGGGAAAGCTTCAGGAAGCTGAGAGAGACAGATTTTCAGCAGCGAGAGACACACCGAAGTAGCATCTCACTTCAAGTTCCAACACTAATGTCTTCCCCTCCTGAACATGTAAATCATGCCCAAAAGTAAAAGATGTGAAACATATTCATTATGTATCTCCTTTAGCCCGGGCAGCAGCATTTTTTCAGCCAGCGGTTTTCCTTTCTCTGCCTTATAACTCAAAATGGAAATCTCCACTACATGTAATCCCCTCTAGTGTTCAGAGACGTGCTTTATCTTGCTGTCTACAGGCGCAGCAGACTAAACACACAGTCTAATAGAAGGTGTTTTCTATCTGAGGCGAGCCTGTCTGCAGGCGCCGGGGCTTGAGTCTGCTCTTTAAGTAAGATGCTGCATCTCAGCATAAACACACACCACTATCAGACCATCCTCCTTTAAAGTGACTTCTGGCAGATTCATAAAGACAGCCTATAATTTTGTAAGAGCTGAAAGCAACAAAAAAACAGGAGCTTTGAAAGAGAAACCTCATGTTACTACTTACCTTGTTGGGTCTGCAGACATTTAAAGGACATAGAAACCACTTCCACATTGCTGTTTTACCTCTTAATTTTAGGCAAGATAAGAAGTAGATAAAGACAAAGTCAAGTTAATATATTAGTAAACAGTGGGCTGTAATGGAGCCCAAATTTATACTACTTTCTATGTTTCATGTGGATGCAAATATGTCCTTTAAACCATTTAGATCACAGAGAACATAAGAAATACTAACAAAATATCCCTCATTGTCCCTTATTTGCTCATAAGGCATACTTTTCATTCATTATTTTGTGCACAAAGCCTTTTAGAATCACTCTCCTTGAGTGAGGCTCACTCCTGCCTCCTTCTGGAGAACTTACAGAAAGACAGATACAAATCCAAACGATCCAGATGTCTTCACTTTGCAAAGAAGGAATAGATTCACTATATTTCAAATGCACATTTTTTCGATTGATCAACAAAAGAATGGTGTCTTACACAACAGAAATACACATCGGAATGTTCACCATGATTTGATTATGTTATTAGTATCACAAGCTTCTCCACTAATCGGCTTATTTTACCTTACACAAGCAAATCTATCAGTGGCTTTATCACTGATGCTTTAATTCAATCACAAAAGAAGAGATATGAAGCTAAAGCATGCACAACGGCCCGGAAAAGCATCACTTTGAAAATGGCTTCTAGGTGTTGTTTTTTTTAAAAGACCTAAACAAAAGAAAATAGATAAAAAAAAACAAATGAGATGTTATTAGCACCTCCACAGAATTATCAGATTGTCTCTGCTGCCAACAGAAATGTAGCCTAATAAGATGTCCCTAACTACCTATGTGGTGCCAACTGTTTTATGTTCTGTATCTAAGGGTCTAAATCAGAATAAAGAAATTGTTAATTATATCAACCAGCACATCTTCAGAGTGGGCTGGTTATGTATTTGCCAATAAAGTTTGTTGAAGTACAACTGTGACCCTTAAAGTGCTAACATGTGAGTCACCAAAGAGCCTGTCCATACCTATAATAACTACACTGTCACGCTTTTTGTCGGTTATATACCTGCCAGGCTGTTTTATCTACAGTAAATCCTCACAAACTGTGGTGTAAAGTGGGCTGATATCTCCATTCCGAAGCTGATTAAACTGAGTCAGTTTCTTATGTTACTAACCCTACTAAGATTATAGCTAACATCCTGCAGCAAAAAAGAAAAACTCTACCAGAACCACTTCTCAGTTTAATATCTGGCCATTTGTATACATGCATGCACTGAGATTCCTTCCTGATTTTCAGATTTTCAGAGGTGTTGAGCTTTGGCTGCGGGTCCAAAGCTCTAACTGTCAGTAATAGAGTCTGCTCCTCTCTTTGCCCACGCACAATCTTTGCTGGTCGGCGTGTCGCTCTTCGGCTCCTCCTCATATGCAAAACATCATCGGTATCCGGAAATTGGCAATCCCGTGATGTGAGGAGCGCTAGCGTAGCGTCGGAATGACTGCGGTGGCTTTTCTTTTCTTGGGACTTCAAACTTTTCCAGCGGTGACTGGCAGCTAGGCGCTCGGTCTGCTAACATGGGGCTTCCGGACTGTGATGCGGCGGAAGGATGTATCCCTCCGCACGGACGTTAACGGACGGGGAACTCCCGCAGGACCTAGCAGGATGCTGCTCGGCTAGCCTCGCCGGAGCCCGGGGTCAGATTCATGTGCCTTTACAAGCTAGTACGGACGTTCGGACAGTGCGACGACGATAGTAAGTAACGTTTTTACAGTCGGAAGAGAGTGAAAAATGTCGCGTTATGTGTTGGAAGAGGTGTCAAATTTCCGCGACTACACAAGGGGTCAGGAGCTGGCTGACGTTCTTAACTCGACATACAACGAGCGCCGCAACGGTCTGTCAGATGTGCGCGTGAGCCCCGATGGACGTCACCTCCATGTTATCCTCCGCAAGCCCACGGTCGGTCTCATGACTTTTGACAAGAATGACAGACCCCAGCTGGCCCAGAGCCAAAAGAAGCTGGATTTGTGGCTGAAACGAACCGTTCCCATTGTGGATATTTTGTATTTGGACCATCACAACAACAACAGCAGCAGCAGCATCCCAGGCACGACAGTTGTGGCAGTGATTTATGAAAATGGAAAAGCTGAGTTCTGGAAATTCCAGGAGCCCAAGGCGGGCTGGAATCTCCTCCAGACTTCGGATCTGTGCAACAGCCCCCGGGCCCGAGTGGTGTCCGCCTGCGTTTGCCTCAACCTGATCATCTGGTGTGAGGAGCGGCCCCCCTCAGAGAGCTCCCCCGCCCTCAGCTCCACCAGAAACTACCTGAGGTACTGTGTTTGCAGGCGGGACTTCGAGGTGGAGGAGGGCGCCGTCGGCCTGGGGGGGGTGAGGATCACCCTGCACAACAACCCTAAATTCACTGTGATCAGTTCGGGCGAGAACGTGCATCTCCTCCCCGACCTGAAAGTCAAGCCCATTTTGAGCGTCTCCAAATTCTTCCTCTCCTGGTCGCCGCACCGGGACTCGTTCACGGTCGGCACCGCGTGCAAGAACGCGCCCATTAAAAAGCTTCCGGCCAAAGAGTCTGACTTCAAGAAGCTGGTCACGGACTGTCTGGGGTACTTGTCGTCTCTGGAGCCCCCCGAGATCTACGACTTCTGCCCGGCGGGCTGCGGGGGCCTGCTGCTGCTGCTCAGCACGGGCTGGCTGTGCCTCCTGCAGAAGGACGGCGTCCTGCGGCAGGTGTACAAGCTGGCCGACAACTGTCTGGTCAGGTTTGGCACCCACACCAGCGTTTGTGTGTACCAGAACATCCTGGCGCTGTTAGTCGGGCAAACGCTGCATCTAATAGACTTGAACTGTGGCAGAGAGCTGGAAAAGATTTTATTAAAGAGAGAGGGGTTGTTGTACACAAACCAGGCTGAAAAGTGGACCCCGCATCTGCTCTCAGAAACTGGACTTTTTGTGGTCAGGAACAAGGAAAGGGACTCCAGAGAGCGCAGCTCTAAAATGAAGCCCCCTGGCAGCACCGCGGCCATTATTCATCCGGAAGCCCTTTTGGTCGAGGCTGTCTTTGAGGAGGCCTGTAAATACTACCAGCAGAGGAGCCTGAGCAGCACCCAGCTTACCGTGGACTCCCTAAAGAAAGGGGGTCGGTTCCAAGCCCCCATCGCTTTGGCCTCCATCCTGGAGAGCTACCTCAGCACGGGTCAGACGGGGAAGAGCGCGGGGGGGTTGCAGAATGGAGGCGAATGTATGGCGGGGCAGGACAAACTCAAGGGCTCCCTGCAGGCTGAGCTCAAGGCTCTGGTCTCTCTGGAGGACGTGAAGGGGAGTCTGGTGAAGGGAAGTGTTAAAGATGTGGAGGCAGCGTGTGAGACTCTTGTAGAGAACGAGGTGTCGAGGCTTCTGTCGTCCCCCGAGCTGGACAAAGAGGCCCTGCACTACCTGAACTCCATCTTCAAGCTCTTCCCCGGCCACGCCTGGAGGGCAACGCAGGCCGCGCTGAAGCTGCACTACAACGGGGAGGGCTCTCTGTCCAGCAGGGCCCCCCCGGACGTGTGGAAAACAGTCCTGAGCCCCCCGCCCAGCTTCAGCCCCTCTCCCTCCCTCCTCTTCGCAAACGGCCAGCCCAAACACAATCACAGTCTGAAAGGCGATCACAACCACGCGGACAGACCGGTCTCCTCCGCCCACCCTGCCGTCCTGCCAGTGTTCGAGCTCCTCTGCCAGTCGGTGTTCCGCTTCCAGCCCAGCTGGCTGCCGCAGTTCCTGCAGCTGGCGCAGCAGCAGCAGGGCTCAGCGGGCCTGGGCCTGGGCCTGGCCTCCTCCTCCTGGGGCTTCTCCGGCGGGAGAGGAGGGGAGGGCGGGGAGAACAACGTGCCGCTCTATAAACGCGCGCTGTGCACCCTGTCCAGCCTGAACCCCGACCGAGACCAGCTCCGGGACTTGGAGGTGGAGCTGCTGCTGGTCAGCGGACGGCCCAACGCCATTTTGCAGGCGCTGAGGATCCTGATGGGCCAGCAGCAGTGGGAGCGGGTCACCCGGGTGGCCCAGCTCTTCTGCAAGCAGAGCCCGCTGCTCAACAAGGAGATCTTCACCACGCTGCTTTGCGAGGTGACGCACCACAGAGACCTGGACCCCTACCTGGAGCTGCTGTGGGCGCTGTGCCCTGAAGACTTCACCGTCACCAGCATCCTTAACTTGGTGTTAAAGAACCTCCCGTCCCCTAACACTCTGTCCCACTCCTCCTCTTTCTACATGTCGTGTGCGGGCGCCCCCTCTCCGTCCCCTTTCGCAGACTCCCACAGCAGCCAGCTGACCATCGGGCTGTTGAAGCCCCTGCTGAGAAAGGTTCTCCAGAGGGAGACCAAGCCCAGCCAGCGGTACGCCGACATCCTCCAGTCGCCATCGTACCCGCCTCCAGCTCTTCCCCGCCAGCCCACTGAGCAGGCGGCCGCCGGGGCCGATCGCAGCCCCGACCCGGCTCCGGGCAGCAGCGCTACCGCGCCAGCCGCTCCCGGAGAGACTCCCCAGCAGCAGCTGTCCACACACCCCACCCCTCAAAGAGCCAGGGTGGCACTGCCCGCTAACCCAGTTGGATACACTTAAAAAAAAAAAGAGCGTGCCTCATATCGTAACACATTCCACATACAATCTGACCAAAATGCGCACCCACAATCATATTAGAGCAAAACGGTGTCAGTATTTTACAGGCATCACCAGTGACATGCAGTTAACTGAACTATTTAATGGTTGTTGTTTTTTTAAGCCTGTGAAACGTGACTACTAGAAACTCTGTCATGACTACTGAAGACCCTACCAGTGTAAATACTTGAGGTAATTTTAAGTTTTATTGTGTATATACTGTATCTGCAGTGTTATTTATCTCTTGAGCCTTATCTGCACGAGGAAAAAAAAAAAGCAAATGCTCCTGCATCATTAGCAGACTAATAATAATAATAATAACAATGTAGTTAGAATAAACTGTGTAAACATGGTGTAACTCCTCAGTCAAAAACAAAGTTACTAACCAGAATGGAGTCTGTCTGCCTGCTCCAGTCTTATCACCTGATTTGATGAGCGGCCATCCTCTGAAAACTCCCCTCAGCTCCACCATTATTAAGTAAACACTGTATCTGTCCTGTTGTTGATCTCTTAAGCTTTAACTGCACGTGGACGAGCATGCGAGCAACGTTAACCTCAGTCAGAAAATGTTTTGTGTTCAGCTCCTGAAAAACAAAGCTAGAAGTCATGTTCCAGTCTTAGCTCACTTTGTAATAAGACAGGAATAATAAGATAAATGTTTCATGAATCTCCTTTTTCCCCTTGCTTAGATGCTGTCTCAGAGTCGATTATGTGCTGAATTCAAATAAGCTATCCTTTGTTTTTCCCTGTTTTAAGTAAAATATCAGGAGCTGGGTGGCATTAAGACCCCTCTCTAGACTATTTTCCTTCATCTTTAACTTACTGGTGAAACATTAACCCTATATTTGATTGGATCTGTTAGTCTCTGAAAGAACCCGATGCAGTCCGCTTGTTCATGCTGAGCTACTACTTTTCCACCCCCGTCGTCCATTTTCCTTTCAAGACTCCATCTTGTCCGCTCGGCTCCGTCTCAGCCCGACTCACGGGACATTCCAGACAAAATCCCCAGTAAAAGCGACTCACAGTTGGACTTCCAATTCAATTTCAGTGGTAATCTTGTTAGGATGCTAGTGTGTGTGTGTGTGTGGAACACGTTATGACTGCCACAAGCACCCTGCTCCTAGCTAGAGGTCGCACACATCCTCCTTCATGGGCCCGCTGAGGATAATGTTGTTAGAGATGATAGGTCTGCTGGATTCTGTCCCCCGCACTTTAACACCACAGCAGGCAGAGTGTGTGTGTGTGTGTGTGTGTGCTGCGTTTGATGCATTTGTCGAAACTGCTGTTTTCTGAGTAAGAGCTGTAAACAAAGGCGCGCCGCAATGCCAGTTGGGTGTGATTTTTTTTTTTTATGAATGCCAGCTCACAAAAAGTGTTTTCTTTTTAAGTATTTATTTTGTCACAATCGTCAGAAGACTGCTGGAGTGAAACTGCGGTGTGACATCTCTGTAGTTGGAAGTGACAATCACGCTCCAGAATTGTGCGGAATACTTTGTGCCTTTCACACCGTTGCCGCTCATTTGCAGAACGGTGTCACATTTCTGCCGTGCCTCCTCAGCACAGCTGGTGTAATCCAGAGAGAGAGCTGAAGCCGGGTGAGAGGATCTGCTCTCTCTCTGTCCGGATCCGTGCAGCTGACCCTGTGCCTCCTCTGTGAAAGGCCTCCATTAGCTCCGCAGTTATCAATGAGAAGCCCTCTGGCTTTTTCATGGAGTCTGACATTGCAAGGTTGACCTATAAAAAGCACAAACAAAATCTGCTCAGCCGGTTTCGGTTCAGCTCGCTGACTTTCACTGTGTACTTCACATGCACTGAGATTCTTTGGGAATTCCCAGACTTCTCTCTGCAGCCTGGTGTGGAGCATGAATTTGCCTTAAACGTTGCCTCTGGTTGTGATCAAATAGGATTCTGCTTTCATATCCACATTACAACTTTGTTATTGTTGTTTTTTTTTTTGGCATTGTTCACTTTATGCAGTATTTGACAGAAAAATGTAAAAGTATTTATGAGAAGGTGCTGTGTGCTATTAAAGTAAAATTCAAATCTATTGTCTCTCTGCAGTTCTGCGTTTGTACAAAGCAATGCAATTATGAATAGACTAGACAAGAAAGTAGTGTTACCAGCCTTCCTGATCACAAAATGTAGTTGGACATCACCTCTTCCTTAAGCATGTGTCACTTTGCACGGATTGAAGAAGCTGTGGCTCGTTCAGCCCTGTCAACACATTGCTTTAATTCTTTTGTACGAGCCGAGAAACTCCATGGTTTGATTTCAGACAACGAAAAATCCGAAGACATCGACCTCTTATGTTCCTGAGATCTCTGCATTTGTCTAACCTGAACAAATGACTGTGCTCGCACACTTCCTGTTTTTAACCCACCAAGTGTCAAACCCACTTGCGGCTAGAGCGGAGTGCGTGTGGCACCTAATGGAGGGCCTTAAGTGTTACTGCAGCGTTTATAGGTCAGGGACTACAAAAGGAGTGTTCAGTTGTTCCGCTTTCAGCCTCTTAACTAACGCTAATGCAGCAAATGTGGGACAAAGCCAGCTCTCACAGTTAGCCACCAACTCCCAGAGCAGAATGAAAAGACACAAGCATGGAAGGAACGGGTTAAGCCCCTCTAATTTTACTAGAGAGGGTACCCCTGGCAAAACATTCATCTAAACAGAAACCTGTAAGTTATCGCCGTTTATGTGTCCTCTTTGCCCTCAAGTATCTGAAAATGTCTGACAGTGTCGCACATATTAGTGCATTAAATTGAATTTTCATATTACGGATTTAATGCACAACAGAGAAAGGATGGCTCAAAAGGCTTTTGGTGAAAGCAAGGCGCTCTAAGCATTAAACTTGATGTAATTTATAAATTTCATAATCGTAATGATACTTTGGGTTTGTTTCTCCTCCATCAATCACCATCTGAAAATGAGTGCTTTATTTGTGCACTGATTGGTACAACATTATGCAAATGGTTTGAGAGATTGCATTTGGGATGAGAATTTGCATTGCATTTGAATTTTATTCCATGATATTCACTGAAATCATACTAATAGCTTTGTGAAAACCTTGCAGAATTAAAGCCAAGCTGGGAGGTTGTGAGAATTATCCACAGACAGAAAAACATTCAGCAAAGGCTCATATTGAAAAAACACAACAAGAGGTCAGCAGCACCTAAGATTAAAGAAAACAGGTTTAGAAAAATTCACCATATTAGTTTTTTTTGGGGGGGGGGGGTGTTCCTTGTTTATGGGTATAGAAATTATCTTAAAAAGTCAGGTAAGGAACTAAAATTAAATTATGTTGTATGTATTATCATTAAAATAGCAATTCCGTCTGAAAAGCAATCAATAAATCTCCAGGAAAGAGATGTGGGATCTTGGCACAGCTCTCATAAAAACCTCTTTGGACAACAATCTCTTCTCATAGGGGTTCTAGTCATGACAAAAGTCAGAAAGAAAAGCATATGTTGAAGCACATCGTGTCATGAGTGTGGAATGATCTGTTTGCATGGGCTTTTACAGTAACTGAAATGCACGAAGGTCTTCATGATCACAGCACACACCGTCTGCTGGCTGCATGATAATAACGCTACACGACCAGTGGCTCTATTGAGAATAAATGTGTTTGAGAAGAGGGCTGCGATGTGAATATAAACAAAATGCGGACTCTTCATTACAAAGTTTATCAGATGGACGCTGTTGCAGTTTGATAACGGTTCACGTGCCATGAAAAATACTTGCAGGGGAACAAATGTGCTTTGTGAAAGCACATCACGTCTTCTGCGGATGATAGAGGCTGATCTCAGCGTCTCCTCATGTGACAGGTAAAGAATGACACACACCCTGGATTTGTCATGCTTTTTCTTTACTCGGTGATTCCAACAGAAATGTTCACAACCTTTTATAATGGATGGACTTAGAAAGTGCTATGCAACAAAATTATCTACCCTGTAGCAAAAAGTAGTATAAAAATCAGCATTAGTGTGTCATCAGTCGAAATTGTAGTTTACAAAAATATTCCTTTCTGCAAAGGAAAAAAAAAACAATAATGATATCACAGAGTTAAGAAACCACAGAGAAGTCATGACATTAAAGAAGTGTTTTTAACGTGATTAAGGCTTTCATTTAATGTTCCACGCATAAAAATAGTGATTTCCAGTATTTGTGCAAGTTTAGTTAACGATTCACTCAAAAAGGCACATCCCAGTGGCAAACCATAGTAGTGTTTTATCAACTACATTCTCAGAGTCATTTGCATACAAATATCTAAAAAAGGAGCTGAATCAGCAGCAGCTAAGTTTTTCAATGGAGTGCATACGAAGCATTTATGGACATCGGTAAAACAGATTCTCACAGAGATCCCTGCAGAGTTCCTCATTCCCTGTGTTCCCCCAGAGGTGCATCTCAAATACCCAGTGTCTACACTGCAGCCACTTTAAAAGCAACTTTTGCCTCAGAAAGGGAAACATTTAGTCTTTCAGTCATTTGTCCAGAAGCTGATGCTGCTGCTGCGAGGGGTTTTGATTTTGTCAAGTAACATTTGTGCTTGCAGCTTTTTTTTAGGCCTCATCTTCTCAGGGCATTTTCATCTGTGCCCTGGGGAAGTGGTTCATGATTATGTGGTTGTTGGAAACACAGACTTGAGGAGAAGTCGAAGGCATCCCACTACGGTCAAACAAAACATTTAACACATGTAATTCTGGTACGTTTTACATCCATGTGTGTAGAAACAGGTCTAGTTGATTTGTGCTACTTACTCGTAGTCGGAGTATTTCATTCTCCTGTAGTATTTTGCTAGTTTGATAGAGAAAATGATGCTGGGGATGAAGAATACCATGCACCAGCCCAGGCCGAACCAGAATGCATTCTGAAAAAGGGCAAAATATGGGATACTGTACTCATAAGAACACCAACGTTTTCCACAATGTTGCGGCTTTAAATGTTTGTCAGATGGGGGAATTTGGTGGAGCTGAATTTGGTGGAGAATAAATTCTGATCCTCACCAAGGACTCCACAAGATTAGAGCAGAGGATGACCTCAGCAGAGTCCACAGCTCCTGCCACCGGCCTGCAGCGGCCCACCTGCTGTGTTAACTGAGGAAGATTTGTGCATCATCACAACCACAGCTCAAATCACAGGGTATGCCAAAGAGCACCAAAAAGGATCTGAGCAGATTTTACCGCGAGGATGGCCCAATCAGCGTAAGCAGTGAAATAATCCAGCTGACAGTCCAAAAAGCTTCTGCTCTCCTGGAAACGAGAAAGGGGAAAAGGTTAATTCTGCACAGCCCCCGGGCCGAAATACTAACAAATAACAAAAAACCTAAACCAAACAGAGGAAAGTAAGATGACCAGAATTTAGAAGAAAAAGGAACAGAAAAAAAATGAAAGGTCAACTGAAATCAGTAACTCAGGTTAGGGCACATGACAAATCCTGATACCAAAATAACCACAATAACCAAAGGGAAAACCCAAAAACCGGGGTAGTTGGTGGTTAACATTTAACCAAGCGTTACTGCCACAAAGTGAAGTGTGTGTGTGTGTGTGGGTTTCAGTGGAAGACAGAGGACTTAAGGGTGGGAGAATGCAGGACAAATCTGTTTCTTCCACTTTGTTGCAATACTGTGCATTCCACGTACACATGCCTGGTTTGGATTGCTCTTGTTTTTAAATCTTCTCCCAGTGACACTTAATTAACCCACACACATCAGACGGTATAATTCTGTTTGGTTGCTTAAGAATTTGACGTAATTAATTATTTCCCTTTAGGCGAAAACTCTGTACATCTCTAAACCGACCAGAGCTCGGTGACTAAAATAACTAACACAATTGCAGCTGGGCTCGAAATTCGATTTATTCTCCGTGGACGTGTGACCAACCAGCACGTTGCTCACGCTACAAACTCACACTCGGTAAGCCACAGCACTTCCCCCATCGTCCCCTTTCACTAAACGACTGACCGACCTCAGGCATTAGCAGACCACATGGAGCACATTTCTTCAGACTCATGTGACTCGCGGTTCTACTCACAGTCCTGACGATTAGCGTTGTGTTCGTGTTGAGAAAGTCTTGTGCTGCTCCGACCCTGCCCAGCACCTCCCCCACCGTTCCCTGGACGAGCAGCAGAGATGACAGAATGAGGCCCGGAACAAAACCGAGGAGAGTGGCCTCTGTCCCCGGCCGATCCAGCTGTTAGCAGCTGCACTCACATTCAGCATTTCTGCAGTCCACCCAAGGCTCCTCAAGGTTAAATTCAGGTTTTGCTTTGGGAAAAAGAGGCAGATGCATGTTATTTTGTTTTTATATTCAACTGAACATACCAAATGTAAAGCAAGAGAAGCAGAATGTGCGATGGGTCTAACTCTCACCAGTTCTGGAAAGATGAGTGTTTCTATGTCGGCTTGGATCCGCCTCAGTGCCACGGCTTCATTATGGAGTTCTTCTTTAATCTCTTGATTCTAGGAACAAAAACCAAGGGTCTCGTTAAAATAAAAGTAAACATTGTTAGCAGAACGAGGAGTCTATCAAATCAGCAGCGCAGCAGAGGTTGGTTGTAAAATCCTCACCTGATAATTTGAAAATGTTTCAATTTCATCTGCGGTTGTATTCAGATTGATCTTTGAAACATTGTTCATCTGAGAAAGGGAGAGAGAGAGAGAGAGATTACGCAAGGAACAGTGAGTCATAGTTGCACATGGATGAATATGGCAAACATATATACACAAATGAAGAAGATTTACCTGCTGTGTAAGAGTGGTGGCATCAAAATTTAGAATCTTGGCAGAGATGTTACCGAGCTGGTTTTTAACCTCAGTGCTCAGGAGAGTGAATGAGGAAAGAGTGATATCTGTGCTCTCAAACTCCTTTTGGATCTGCTCTGTGTACTATTTACGTTAGCCATTTAAGGAGAGGTCAGAGAGTTAAGCAAACAACATCAATATTTCCAATCCATTCGTTTTTAACCACTGAAAGAGCGGGCAAAGAAACTCACTTTGGAGACATTGAGCAGGTCTTCAATGTTTATGCTCTCATGCAAGTGAAGTGTTGTCCAAAGGGGCTGGTCTTTCTCACAGTCGCTGTAAGGACGGCCAGCAAATATGTGTTACCTACACTTATCCACATCACAATTACAGACTTGAAGAGCTACTTCCAATGTACATATGAATAGTGAAGAGCAGTGAATATCCACTTCTATTAATAATTGTCACAACAGAACAAATAAAACAATGTCAAACAAATGTGTGTGTGTTTGAACTGCGTCAGCGCATACCTATACAGTTGAGAGAATTTGATGTTTTGAGGTAGTAAAGTGATCAAGTTTTCAATCACACCTGGTGAATCAAGGAACTGTGGAAAAGAAAAAAGAAAAACAGGATCTTGAGCATCCTTTTCAGCCCCAGAGGCTTGTCTGCACAATTAGGCACCTCAACCTTTTTAGAATTGGGGTAACTTTTGGGTTCCTAATGCTTATTTTCACACAACAGTACGCACGGCTGTAGGTCAGTACCTTGAGCAGCTGTCCATTGTTCCATGGGCGACAGACCAGGGCGTAAACGTTTCCGCCCAGTAAGAACAGCAGGAGCACCAGTATCATCAACAGCCAGGAGAAGAGAAAGCTGAAACCTGCACCCCTGTGAAGACGCTCAGGGTCAGAGGTCAAAGAAAAGCCTGACAGAAACGCACTCGTCTCACTCGGTCAAATCACTCACATCATGAGGAAGGTGCCTCCGCAGTTTGCCGTGCAGGAGCGCTTCTTTGGGTCCGCTTTTGGGCTCAGACCCAGAGGACCCAGGATCAGACCCAGGCAGTTGCACAACACCACCAGGAGGACGGCACAGGACAGGGCCACACACACACTCCATCTATAGAAGTAGGAATAATCATTTAAATACATTCCACTGATGGCATTATTCAAGCTTCGATGCCTTTTACCTGATATTCTCTGCTCTCTCCACCAAAGGCAGGTACTCGTCAATGTCCTTTTGCACCTGGTTCAGAGACTCTGACACCGTGCTCAAAGCCGTCAATAGACTTTCATTGGAAACCCCGGAAATCTGTTTTTTTATATCATCCAGCGCCTGTTTGCTCTCTAAAAAAAAACGACAACAAACACACAAACATATTATCTTCTAAACTAACTAATCGTCCAACTGGTTTGACATCAGAAGTTTTTTCCAAGCTTTGTGCTCACTTTGAACCACGTCTTTGGTATCATTCGTCACCGTCTGTGGAATGTTCCGAAAATATTGGTTCACCTGCAATTTCAAAAATATCTTAAATATCGTCTAAAATGTTTTTCATAGATTTATCACTGATGCCTCTACACTGAAAGAAAACTGAATGCTGGATGTATCCTCCTAATAACACGCTTTCCATGAAAAGCTGCTTTGTGGTTGTTGTCAGATAGAGATTTAGCAATTTTTCCACCCATTTACACACTTCACCTCAAAGTGTACGATAAACAACACAGCCTCAGCGGGGAAATCTGCCCTGCACATGAAACAACGTTATCTTTGGTTAGAACTTTCCCCGTTGCAAGTTTTCATTTCAGGGACATCACTGACCTCATCGATTTTGGTCTGAAGATTCATTTCGGTGACTTTGTCCACTGCAGATTGAAATTCTCTCAGGCTGGGAAACTGCAGAAAACAACCACACACAACAGAAGTGAGACCGGGAAATGCATGTTTTACCTCAAACTAACAGTGGGGAGCAGCAGAGTGAAAAATACAAGAAGTAAAGTGTTGTTGCTATTAAGACTGAGCTGCCAGGTCAGAAACATGTCAAATCCTGACAAAAATGTATAGTCTCAATGTGCCAATGTTTTACGCTTGAGGCCACAATCAAGATCACATGTTTAGCTAATAAGTAAATCAGCTCTAATAAGTCATTTTTAATAGCAATGAAGAGAAAGCAAGAGATGAATGCACGGAAATGTCTGCCAAAGATGGAGAGGCGTAGATTGTGGAGGAGGACAGATTGGAGGAGGACAGAGCAGCTTTTCAGATAAAGCCAGAAATGACTAACAATCATCATCTGTCATTCTGTGGCTGCCTACGTCAAGAGCAGTTTGATTGCGTTAACTAGTTTTCCCATTATGTTGTAACTCTGCAGCAGAGCACTTGATGATTCTGAGTTGGATTTTGAAACCCAAACTGTTGAAACTGACTCATCTCATCCACCTAACCTTCAGTCTACAGGAGCCAATGTTTACCCCTTTGTGAAACTACAAATTGCCTTCGGCATTCTGGAAACAATTCAAGCCTTCAAAAGGAAAAAAAACAAAACGGATGATTCATGTTGTATCATCGGGTTGATTAAAATCAGTACGTACTGTTATGGTGGTGTCCAGCGTCAGTTTCTCCAACTCAGCAGTTCTGTTGCTACATCCCAAACAGCTTGGATTGGTCAGCGTCTGATTGATCTGATTCTTCACAGCAGTGACGTTGGCCTGGAGTCGGTCAGAGCTGGACTGCAGCTGAACCAAAGACGAGTTCAGCTTGTCCAGCTGAACACTTATGTTTGAAATCTCTGTTTATTCCATAAAGAAAAAAGAAATTCATCGGTGTATGAAGACCTTTAAAAGATACCAATCTTAAAGCAGCCCGATCACTGAAAAGAAGAGAAACTGTAAGTGAAAAGAGTTTAATCTTTCAACTGACAGATTTCGTCTTGATATTCCCTACCGGACCAGTTTTTATTGCTGATTATGGTCATTTTTTACCATGGGTTTGACCATGGGTTTCACATACATGCTTAGCTCAGGATTGTGCGCTGTTGTTGTGGTCTTTTGTAACAAACTGCTGCTTAGGGAGGCAATTAAATGGAAATGCTCTCCTGTCCCTTTTTTTAAAGCTCAGCTTCAGATCAAAACAACTGGGAAACATTTATGTTGAGTCGTTGAAAGATGAACTTGGACCTACTTCTTTTTTACACATTAAAAACTTTTAAAAGGAAAAAAACTGCTGCCTGAACAGCTGCTGCAAATAACTCCCTGTAAACACCCAGACAATTTAGTATATAGACATGTATATATTTAGATACATGTTTTTTTTTCCCTTATATGTACATGCTTTGTTTCCCAAGGATTTCAACGAGATCCCTGGCTGTTAGGCAGAATCAGACACAATGGGCTCGCACACACAGGAATGTCCCCAGGTAAGGTTTCAGTTCCCAAGATAACCTTTCAGCTCCGGCACTACTTAGAAACCAGAAGCGCACAGATGTTCTCTGAGGCAGATGCCATAGTTGAAAGTAATATGAAAAACACAAGAACAACCAGAAATTAAACAAGAGTTTTAGCCAGGAACCTTCTTTGCCTTTGTTATATTGTTTGATTTTTTTTTTAATTATAATTTCTTTCTATCTCATCTAACTCATAGAAATACATCCAAATAAAAACTACAGAAAAATGTAACACATAATGGCTTTAAACGTTTCAACGCGAGTGGAAGAGGCTAAAGGCAGTGAGCGAAAACCCTGTGACACCAACTGAATATGAAAGAAAGCTTTCACATGCTCACAGTCGCATGCAGGTAAACCTTACCTTGGTTTAGACGTCTAACTGAGTGCAGTGCTGGATCCAGAGTTCCTCTGAAGTGCTGCTGGATTGCTGCTCCCAGCAGAGCTCCAATAGCTGTTGCATAAAGGCAGACCGGTGTTAGGTGGTCAGCTGTGCCACGAGAGCAGAATGACAGTAGACTCTCTGTTTATTATGTGCCAGGTTCCTTACCATCCAGGTTTCCGTTGACTTGATTCACAGTTCTGTAGCTCTCGTCCACCACGTGATCAACTTGCTGGAGACGGGGGAGAACCCATGTGTCAAAGTGTACAACATAAAGTACAAAAAAAATCATACGTACTGATAGACCTTAACAGGTTTCAGAAATAAGAAAAAACTAAAGTCAGCCTTGTCTTCTACTTCAACCCTTTCCCCCTCCCCTAGTTCTTTAGATAAGCATGTTTACAAAGCAGAGCAAAGAACTGGTCTTTAATCACAGGGCTGACCAGGGATTTGTGTGCATGTCACACAAGAACTGTTGGCTTGCTTCAAATTGATGGCCGAGGTGCAAACCTCCATGATAACTGGATTATTTATGATTTCAACATGATAAGGTAAGGTAAGGTCAAGATAAGGTAAATAAAAGCATCTAAAAGCATCTGCGCTGACATCACCGATATCTGACCTGTGCGTATACTGACCGTAAACAAGTTAACTAGTTTCCACTTGCCTTGGGCACAGCAGTGAAGAATGTGTGGATGTTGCTCAGAGTGTTCTTGAGCTCCACTGGACTCCGGTCCATGCTCATTTTAAAAGCTTCATTGCTTCTGAACATACAGATGTTCCCCGCTCTATGTGAAAGAAAGAGACAGCCCACAGACAGAGGTAGAAACAGTTAAATGTGTCGTAAGCATATGGAGGAACCAAAGGACACGTTCGAAGGCTGCGAGCCAATCACATTCAAGCTGCCCAATTACAGACAACGCAGCATCACGAGGCACATACACTCACAAAATAATGATTGTGGTGGCGAATGTGCCAAAGTAGAGAGTTCTTCTGAGGCAGTGAATGGAGGCCGTCTGCTTCTGATACATCTTCCCCCCACAGTTGCCACAGCAGCGACAGCAAGCCAGGAAGATACAAACTACGGGCATCAGGACTATGTACAGGACGCCAATGGCAACGCACACCAGGAAGCCGATTTCATGAACCAGAACCTAAACACGACACACACACATACAAAATATGAATTGCAATAAAAGTCACAAGGCTGCTAATTCAAAACAGCAATTATTTTTGGTCAGATGAGACATGAAACATCAGTGAGACATCCTTTAATTGCAGCTTCTATTAAATGTGTGACCGTGACTTTCTTTTTTATCACAAGGGTCCCATTCCCACATAAAACAACTTACTTTTTTAATGAATTCTTTATCTGACAGCGTGTTTACGGGTCCAGCAATGATTTTCAAGAGCAAATCTAGAAAGAAATTATAAAAGATAGTTTTTTAGTCTTGAGTAACTGGCATAAGGATTTTATAGAGGACAAGAGTATTCATTTACAGTGCACTGCTCTTTCATCTATGTGTACAAAAAGCCTGGCTACGGGGACAATCTGTCCGTTCCCTGCACAAACATTTGAATCTTTTACATTGTAAAGTGGACATATGACACCAACATGCGGTTACAATGAAACCAGGGCAGCCTCTGGGAGTGACTGAATTTCTTTTATAAGCAAAGCAACACAATGCAAAGCCTCTCATTTACGGTGGCCATGAACCCTCTTATTGTGGATTTCACTCACAAATACCAAAGAAAGAAAATCATCCGAGAATGCACATTGATGTGCGCTTCACAAAAACTATTTGTGTCATTTTGCCATCTGTTTCTCAGCGAGCAGTCAGCCATGAAAGCTTGTCATTATTTGTTGCTTTCAGATATTTATGATGTCAGAGTTAATGGGTTCTGGTGACAAGAAACCCCCGTTTTTCAGTAAGCCATCAAGCCATGTACCTATTGTCATTGATTGATGAAAGATTGGGTGTTTACACAGGAACTAACATGTGTGTTTTAAAATGAATGTTTTTATCTATGCCACAATGTGGCATTTGGTTTAAGTCTGCTAATTACCTCAATTGCATCACCATTATATCAGTAAAGCGTACTATGAGTTTGAACTGGTCAAATGTTATCAGAAGAGTTTTATGTAGAACATTTACACTTTCAAAAGAAACATACAAAAGACTGTAGGTGAGGCCGGAGCTTGGAAACAAGTAAACTGAACGCAACAGAGACCATGAAGGTTAAAGATTGACTGAGCAAAGCAATAGAAGTTTCCAATGACTTATAGACTGACCCGTCATGTGTGTTTGCACTGACATTAAAAGTGGGAAGGTTTATGTAGCCTCAGGATTGACTTTGCAGGTGTATGCTCCCCAGCCCAGGGAAAAAACCCACAGGATTTGAATGTGGTATAAATTACATCTGAACAGCTTATGTAAGCTCACAACAGAAGAAAAACAACCTTCAATGAGGTCTGTCACTGACAAATGAAGCATCAGCACACGACAGAAGAGAGTCCAAACGTCTTCAGACGACTGAGCTTCACCGGTGTGGCCTACCTGAGGGAAGGGGTTTAGGCTGGACTGTGCCGAGGAAGGACTGGACGAAGGCCGACAAAAAGCCCACACCGGGGTCCTCTTTGGCTGCGGCCTTGTACTGAGGTTGCGTGAGGTTCTGCGGGCTCTGGGATGCCGAGCAGGAGTCCTGTTGGTGGACAGTCTGAGCCAAGCCGAGCCCCAGCAGCATCACGGCCAGAGCACTCCGGAACAGTCCGGCTCGGCCCCGCCACCTCCGGCTCCGGCCGATCTCACAGAGGCCCGCGTTCACCATGTTCACGCGGGGAGAAGGCGGCCTTGAAGAGGGATCAACTCATGGCACAAGCTGTGTCTGGTTGCTTCAGTAGAAAAAAAAAAACAGGAAATAAATGCCCTTTTATGACGGTACGATGAAAAGGGGAAGAGTAAAGGGATTGCAGCAGAAATTGAGTCGGAGTTCCACACAGTTTGACAATGGAAAAAAAGAACTGCAGGTATCACGCAGAACAGCAGCAAGGACTTGTTGTGAATAGGAAACTTACTTTAAATGTTAAGCAACGCCCGTCTACTGTCTAAATGGAGGTTGCCCTTTACGCTTCTGGGTCAGACTGGACGAAGGACTGACTTTTAACAGTAACAGGAAAAGTTTTTAAAAAATTAAGGCAGCGTGTCGGAACAGTGTTCATACTGTAAACAAGTATGAGCTCGACCTGCCCGATACCTGCATCCACTCTGTTTATCCCAACTCATGCTAGTCTGTCAGAGTAGATTCCCACATTTGACCCATCATAACATTATTATATTTTCTCTATCATAGATAAATCGCATGATAAGGACAGTATCCCACCAGATAAATCCACTTCCCATTACATTCAAAACAATCTTTCTTCATTAATAGAGATTATTGTTATTTACCCAATCATCAGTCAGAGGTTAATCAATTAAATTATCCCAGGAATGCGTCCACCTCTGGGTTCTGAGGTGAGAATTTGAGTTGACATCAAAGCGAAAACTAGGAGAGATCAGTTAAGAAAATAAAAGTAGATGAAATTGAGAATGAAGCAGCTGAAGCCCCATAGAGAGAATTGAACTGTTCTCTTTCAGTCAGCTCACCTTTTTTTTTAGCAGAACACCAACACAAATGTGATCTCCGGTTATTCCATGAGGGGTGAACAACTCATTCAGGTACACATAAGAAACCAGATACGAGCGGATCCCGTTGTGAAGCTGACGGTGTGCGAGCCTAAAGAACACTGACAGTTAGGAGGGAGGGAGGGAGGGTGAAAATAGACTGGAGGAGAGAGAAAGGGAGGGTCTTACAACAGAGAAGTAGGAACAAAGGGAGGGAGGAACGAGTGGGAAGTAGAAAAGTATGATTGATATCAAATTAATTCAAATGATTTGGGATTTTCCCTCTCTGGTTTCCCTAACTCTGAAATGTTCGGGTTATTGTCCACATTGTAAAGACAGAGTTTAAACATGCAGGAAGGAGTGTTCAAATGCTGGAGCAGAAATCTTTCAACCAACCTTTTCACAGCTTTACAGAAACTGAGAATTAACAAGAATAGATATTTACATGATGACCGGACAGTTAGGCTATTCTCTACTTCTTTCAAGACCCCAATTAATGCAAGGACTGTTTTTGATTGTTTTCTTCACTGACAATAAGTTCCTTTTGGCAAAAAAGAAAAACAACACACCGACCTACAAAAAAAACACACTTCTCTCTTGTTACAGATCAGCTTTTCTGAGTATGGAATTACAGTAGAGGTTGTCTTTTCACTTGTTTTTATCATGAGGTGTAGATTTGCAAATGGTACCTGGTTCAGTTAATGTTGTGAATGTTTCTTCCGGTTAAAAAACTGACTCATTAAACAAAGAAAAAAAACAACTGAACTACCACGAATAAAAAAAAAAAGAAATAAAGAAAAAATCATCTCACAGGGTCGATCTGAACAAATCATTCTAAAGCAAAAGAAAATCAATTAACTAGTAGTTACAAACAGTTATCTATACCCAAGATCAACATGAGAAGTCTTACAAAGGTGCACTCTGAAACTAGACAGACAGTTAGAACATTTGTCTTCTCTGATTTGTCATATGACATTAACTTCACATGGACTGAAGGACCAAAGACAACATATCTGAGCTATATACTAATAATCTGTCTGTCAGAGGAGCAGCTATTCTTCTGAGGTGAATTGTATCTGGTAAAACACGCTCAAATGCACATTTCGCTGAGTTAAAAACGTGTTTCCATATTTGGTCTGGGACAAAACACACCCACGGTCTGCAATCACATGTTCAACAGCCTCACTAAGTACTCGAGCAGTTCAAAGAAAGGCAGGAGAACGCTCACGCAGACACAGGCAGCAACCTTTTGTCTACTAGTTTCATTGAGTGCAAAGTATTTAAATCCTCACATATCTTTAATTTCCCCTCGAAAGACAATGGTCAGATTGATTATCTTCCCTCTTTTAAATTCCTCTTACGCATAGCTTGTTGAATAGATAAACAAGGTTTTAAAATGTCAGCTGAACAAAAGTGTAAGTGCATTCAGGCCACTCTTCTGAGAGTTAAACGAGCCACTAATGCTGTTGGCCTTTCTCACTTCCATATCTGTGGCAGCCATGTGAATCAAGCCTTGCATGACTGAATCTGAGAGACAGCTCCACTCATTTACATAATGAAGATAAAACATACAATATGATAGAAATACAGGGAATCGCAATGTCCGGGTAAAGGTGGATTTTCAAATGGAACATAACAGAAGTTAGAACGAAATGAGTGAAGTAAAGACTAATGATTGTTTTTTTAAAGGTACACGGAAATCTTAGTGAAATAAAGAACTAAAAAATGTGTGGGAATTGATAAATAAATACAATTTATAAGGAAATAAAGAAGTTACTTTGTAACAGAAATATTCAAATTAAAATTAGCAAATAGTATGGAAAACTGAACAGTAAAGAAATAGTGACAAAAACACATGATTGAAGATAAAGCAGGCAGTATTAAAGCTAAGAATTTATCTCTACACAATTATTTTTGCTACGATCATGAATGTTTATTTCATTCTAACAATGAAAATGACTTGACTAATTATATGTTTGAGCCTTTTACAGATTACAGTTTCATTCCTAAAAAAGAAGTTACGATTTATTTCCCCTTCTTTACTCTGGGCAGCTTATCTGACAACTGTCCTTTTAGTTAATTTGCTTAAAATTTGAATTAAATATAGAGATATTCTAAATTCTATACTTCATTTTGAAATTCACAAAGGGCTACATTAACTGCATCTGAATTGGAGTTGGATTATGTCCACTGAAAGTTGCATTTCAGATTCTCCCCTCTCTTTAATTTACTTTCCACAAATGCATACCAACTTGGTTTTCGTGAGGATTCTGATAAAACAAGAAGGAAACTGACATGTCTACACACGACAAAAGGAGAAGAGTCACACGTTGTCTGGACAAGTTGGAGCATAATCCTGAAACATTTGTTCACATTAACATTTAACCCCATGAAAATAAGGCCGTATCATTTATTAATTCAAACAGTATCATTTTGTCCCCATTTCGTTCATAAAAACAGACAGGCTTTCAGTGAAAATTCATCTTTATTGATACCTTACATGAATTATCAATGACAGAAACCTGGCAAAAAAATATAGATATAAAACCACTCCTTTAATGAAGTGCTACAAGAGCCAGCTACAGGTGCATTGCCATTTCTGTCTTAAACACCCTCAGACTTCTTCCATTATTTCAACTCATAAAACAAAGGACGTTGAGAAGTTGGCCCTGGATTGGTTTGTGTGTCTGCCTGCTCGACTGTTACACCACCAAAGCAGACTGGATACTGGTGCTGGACACCACGGACAAGGCTTTAAACATAACAGCTTGCAGCTCTGCTTGGATTTACAGGCCGCGCGTCTGCCAAACAGGACGATGGAGGAATTTCTGACAGGCTGCTCAGTCTGCTCAGCAGCCCCTGCTGGGCAGTCTGCGAGCTGCCGTCCACCAGCCGTCAGCAGACTTGTGTTTGATTCATTTCCCCATCGACACCCACACAGGAAACGCTCAAACAGTGGCTCAAAGTCACGTTTTACCCTCCGATGGGTCAGGATCGGGATGTTTTCGTGACTGGTGAAATCTATCTATTTATTTCCTTTTGACACATATCAATATATCTGACATTTATCAAATTAAATGCTTTAAATAGCTTTCGTTTAAATAAAAATCAGAAAATGAACTATTTTCATTACATTACATTTTCAACAACTGAGGAGCTTGAGGTGCAGAAAAAAAAAGACTGCTAGTTAACATTTTCTCTAATTGTGGTTATTTATTGGATTTAAAGCATCTGATTTTCAGACAGAGCTACAGCACAAGAGGCTATTAAATATATCTCTGTAATGAGAAACCAACAGGATGGCCCAGGAGCTTTATTTAAAAACAAAAAGGAATCACCTCTTTTAGCATTAACTGACTCAGCAACCCCACAAATTCCTCCACAAACCACCATGGACATTGTACAAGTGGGTTGGACCTAAACAGCATGTCAGTACATAGAAAAATAAATACAGTTTGCTAAAATGAGGGCAAAATTCTTTTATCAGTGATTGTACCATTAGAAATCATGTTTTTAAAAAAAAGTAAGAGGCTTTTTATCTCTTTACATTAGATTGAGTTTCTCATAGATCAAGGAAGGAATACACAGAATAACTTTACAGAAATTACTACCTAAAAATATACAAGCACAGACACAAACATGAGGAGTAAAGCCAACAAAACGATTGATCAGAAAACAAAAACAGCGCCGTGTAATCAGTATAAGAATCTTTACATGTAGCTCCTTGGTCTGCAGCTTTCTTTATTGTAATTAAAAACTTTTCTTGGAAGCTTAAGTTAATACAAAAGTCTTTTTCTTATTTTACAATCTTGTCAAAACTTGTCTTTTAAAATATTTTTCGAGTAGCAAATTTGAGAAGTTTTCTGTGACTATATTCTCTGACGAGAGGACCCCAAGTTAAAGAGATTTCAAGACGAAGCCAACAGTTCTGCCATGAGAAGACAACAGATGGAGATTTAGTGGGTAGTTTCCAGTGTGCTGCTTTGGACTGGCATCAAACGAGACGCAGTACAGCAGACAAACACCGGCCTCTGTCCTCCCCTACCTGTTTTAGCACTGAAGCCAGTGAGCCTGATAACAGCGTGATGTCCGACACAGATGGATGACATTTAAAGCAGAGGCTTACATCAGTTATTACCATCACAATAAGAATGATCTAACAGCAATACTTACACATTAATATACTGCAGGTCTTGGATGTTTTACACTTCTTACATTATCAATAATAATAATAATAATAATAATAGAAAAGAAAAGAAAAATACACCGTCAACTCCATAAGAAAAATAGATTGCCGTTAATAGTGGAAAAAACAGTGCAAAGAATATTCTGCAGAGTTTTGTTTGCTTGTCTATTTTTACAAATAGTTTCCCAAAAAACTAAACAAACAAACAAACAAAAACACAACAACAACAACAAAAAACAAGTCAAAAACATAGAAAATAAAAACACACTTCTGTGACGTCTGGTGCTCTGGTCCAGACATGCTGCGTACCGCCGCTCTCCAGTACCTCAATGTTTTATGCCGCAGATGAAGATTACACTGTGTGTTAGTGTGTGCACTGTACTGTGTGTGAGAGTGTGTGTGGGCGTGTGTGTGTGGCAGTGTGTGTGTGTGGCAGTGTCTGTGTGTGTCTGTGTCTGTTTAGATTTAGCGTAGTGGTTCTCAACTCCGGTCCTCAAGCTCCGGCACTGTACAGGTTTTTGTTCCAACCAGGTCCTACAAAAACAAATAATTGAGTTTTTAAAATCTGAAAGTTGGATTTTGATACTAAAAGTGCACACAGTTTTTATTTTGTCTTTTGCAGCCTGCGAACAAAACAAAAAAAAAAGTTAAATAAAAGCTAAGCATTTCTTCCCTTTGACATGAGCACAGCAGAAACAACGAGGTGCGTTGTCAAGGAAACGCACGCCTGAGAGACCCGAGGTTGGAACAAGAACCCACTGGCATGATCAAAATGGCGAGCACTGGGACCACAGGACTCGCCTACTTTGGCTGAAATGTTGCGGGGGGGCCAATAACGCGTCGTCACAACTTTAAGAGGCCTGACATGAGCCGAAGGGACAAAGAGCACCGGCTGAGCACCACTGCGCGGCGGCAAGAGTTAAGAGTCCTCTGAACCTCCCGCCATGTGTCAGAGACAGGTGCCGTCGTGCTTTACATCCACCACTGCGCTTTTGAAGAAACTAAACAAAAAAAACAATAATCTAACACAAGTGCTTAAGGCAGCCCTCCTGCTTTCCTTCTACCGATGCCGTGGCTCAGGTGGATCCCGCTTTGTTCTCTGTTCCGTTTGTTTTTCTTAAAAAGGCAAATTGCTGGAACCTCAGCATTCTACTGGGACGACTGGGAGTTGTCATTCTTGCTCTCCTGACTGGAGGGAGCCTTGTTGTTCCAGGGCGAGTGAGCCCCCAGTGCTGGTGAGCTGTTGAAACTGTCCTCATCCTCCAGGCCATTCGCCCCATCGTACTGCGTGTTCTCCAGCCGTGTGATCAGACGCTCGTCCTCGTCACCAAACTCCCCTCCCATCAGTGTGGGCTCTCCCACCATCATCACATCCTAAAGGGGACAGCAAGGGCCGGTACACATTATCCCCGTCATACAGGGGGTGCGCGGAATGTCTGGCTGCACGGGCGGCTTGTTAAGTGTAGGCTGTTTCAGTTTGGCACATCATTTCAGCGCAGTCCAACTGGGCTTCATTTGAATGTCACAAGTCAGGCTGGGATTCTCTACATTGGCACAAGCCCAGTTTCGGGGACTAACGAACATCAGGAATTAAAGAAGGGAGTTGTCAGCCTCCCCTAAAGCTGAATCCAATCACAACAAAACTATGTGTTGTCCGGGTCTCTACCCTGATAACTGAGGACTCCGCGTGGCCATGGTTCCCAGAACCAGGGTCAGGGGGCCCTCCCTACTGGCCAGCAGTGGGCATCCCTGATCCTTGAGTGCTGCATCAGGGGGGGGTTTCATTCCACCTCGGGTCTCGTTCTCTCACAATCAAGCAACAGAGTGAGTAAAGACAGCAGTGCTCTGATAGAAACAGCGGTGACTGTGACCACGCTAGCAGAAAGCCAAACTGCCCCGGTCATATCAGAGGCAAGAGAAATACTTCCCCAAGTCCACAAAATAGAACAAACATTATTCACCCAGGCCTCCTCTGTACCCGTTAACCTGTGGCCCCAGAGGACCAGGGACTGCCCATCACCGCTACACACCAGGTTACAGAATTTAACGTTTATCCCAACACCACCGGAAAATAGCCCTATCTCCATCTCCAAACAGGTACACCTGACAGCAGGACACAGTGACACCCGACACAGAGTCAACTGTTTAGCATTCTTGACCTCATCTCCAGCTCCTGGATTATCTGCCTTACACGCCGCTGCCTTGCTCAGCTGCACTAGGGGAGGGGCATACTGAGGTCAGGTGGATGCAAGGCTTACAGGTACCTGGTTGGAGAGTGAAAAGCTGTTGGCTGGACTCTTCTTTTTGCTGTTGCTGTTGTTATTGCTGCCTCCGCCGGAGCTCACGGTGCTGCCGCCCGACACCTTTCTTTTCCGCCGCTTGTTAGGAGCTTGTCTGGCCGGCTCAGCTATACACAGATAGACATGGTCAGAGAAGTTGAGCTGTTAACTCCCTGTACAACCGAATATGTGGTTCCAAGGTCTTCTGCAAATAAATAAATACCTGGAGGTGCAACCATCCTTTGCCACTTTTGGAAAAGGCATGTCTTCAGACAGTCTCTGGGGCTCAAACTGTAAGTCTTATGCCTGGACATCAACTCCTGCATTGGCTCCAATATCACACATAGCTAAAGGGAGGATAAAGAGAGAAGTCAAAGAGAGCAAAGGGAATGTCAGCCCCCTGTTTTATGTCCGAGGTAGAGCTCAATTCAGTGGTGAGAGAAACGAGGCTTACACGGAGGTAGTTGAGTGTGGAGTTGGAGAGCCCACATCTGGTGATATTTTTAGCCAGCTGATCAAGCATCTGCGGGTCCTGCGAGTGGGTTAGAAATGTGACATGAATACCCATTTGTAGTGCGTGTAGATTTGTGTCGGCGCTCGGTTCGTGTGACACCCACATGCATAGCCAGAATGCTCCTGGGTAGGACTTCTCTGTGTTGTCTGATGCTGAAGTGCCACGTCTTGATCCTCATCATGTCATCAAACATGAACTCTAGGTACAAGCGGCCTTCAACGCACACCTTATCCAGAGCAATTAATCAGAGGTTAACAGATCAGGGAGGAAGGACGCACACATCCCACCAACACCACCTGCTTACTGTACCTGTGTGAACATGGGTTTGCCATTCTGGGTCACCATGGTGCATTGGTCACAGTCGAGGGACACAAAGTTGTTGTGGAAAGACTCTTTTGGATGCTTCAAAACATAGAACAGCTCGGTGGCGCCTCCTTCAAAAATACTTCTAAAGTATCGAGGAATCAGTGTCCGGCCAATGGCTGCAAACAAAATGGCAGATTAGAAGCTATTCACCCATGAGGCGGCAAATACAGCGGACACGACTTCCCAGCTTGAGGGATTCTTTCTTACTGTAACGTTTGGGACCATCCTCTAGACAGAACGTGATGGTGAGCATGGCATCATCTTCAAAAAATTCTGTGGTGAAGGCGTCCCACCAGAGATTGTCACAGTCCTAAAAGCAGAGAAAGAAACATTAGTTTTTCATAAACTGATTAAATATGCTGGGAAACTAGAGAGATGTTTACAGAGAAGGGGGTTATATTTTCACAGAGAGTTAAGAAAGTTATATAGAACACAAAATGTCAAACTACAAGCACTAAAACTGCTGAAAAGGAGAAGCAGAAACTGCCGTTTCCCCAAATACAGCACATCCACGCTCTTTCTGCTCTGCCTCTGAACTGTGTGGTAAACAAAAGGCTTGCACGTCTGCATGTTTTGCTGCTGCAACGAAGAGCAATTTAGGGATGTTTACAAAGGATTTTCCATGTACACAAGCCGTAACACAATTCATATGACGACATGCTTCAAACTCAGAAATCTGAGCATTCAGAAACACTCGAAATGGGATTTCATACCATACAGCTGCTTTTCTGACGGGCGATTAAACATATAACAGTTGGCACTCTAATTAAGTTTCTGCCAGGTTGGTCAAATAATCCTATTACGGGTTGAATGTAAATTAAATTGCTGTGTGCTTCAGCTTAATTTCCCACAAAATCCCATGCATCTTTGGCTACAACAGCTGGTGAAATTAGGGGGGTGGTAACTGAGAAGACGGCAACGGTGAGATGATCAAGTGGGTTTTCTACAGTTTTATAGCGAGCGAGTAAAAAGGCCTCTCTCACCTCTGTCCAGTTCTGTAACCTTTTATTCAGCTCATATATCCTGTAGTCTGTCTGGTTCCCGTACGGTGTAGGTCTCCTGAAACAGACGGGGGATTGTTAAAATGACTCAGTGGCTATCGAAACCTGTAGAGCCAAGAGTAACCTTAATCTAAATGTAATATTTCACACATGATGTGTAAAATCCCAACATAAACTTGAGACTGCATACAATAAACCACTTCTGGCCCCGGTTAAATTACAGCTATAGCTCTCACCCCATTCCAGGCTCCATGTATGAAGGTGGGTACATGGGTGTTGGCCTAAAGGGAAAAAGAAAACAAACATCAACATTATGAATTCCCAAAACACACTTGCCTTCACCATTTAATAAATGTTACCCATTCTATGTAATAGTTCCTCACATTATAACTTTTTAATTTCCAATTTACTCCAACAGGACAAACACTTTAAGCTAATCATAAAAGTAAAACAAGTCAATATTTTGCAACAAACACTGCACATTCTTTGGGGAAATATCCTGAATGGTGCAACTAATTAAAGAACTGAAACGCACAGCTTTCAGTAAGACTTAATAACTAATGTTTTTATGGCTGAAAAAGGGTGGTCAAGTTGTGTGCGTTTTCTCTATTTTCGTTTTGAAGACCACATCCATGACCTACCCCACATCTCTGTCCAGCATAGCGCCTGGGTGGAAGGGGGGAAAGCTGCCGCCGTTGGGGGGCTCCTTGGGAGAGTACAGCTTGAATGACTTTGACGAACAGCCTGCAGACAAGCCCACAGAAGGGGAGGAGGAGGAGGGGGGGGAAAAAAGAGCAGAGAATTAAAGGAGATTGAGATTACTTTGGATTTAGCTCATTCAAATCACAGCATTATCAAAGTAATCTAATGTTGGATGATTTTGTGGAGACTCGCTCAAATAAAAGCCCCCTGCCAAAACAATTTTCTGCCGCTTTCATTATCTAATGCATCTTCAATCTGCTAAATGGACAAGGAAACAAATCGTCATGACGAAGGGGGGGGGGGGGGAGGCAGCAATATTTATTAGCCTGCAGACATCTGAGGAAACAATCAGCAAAATGGGAAGACGCAAAGAAAGTGGGTCTCTTCGTATCACTCACATCATTACACGCGCCCCTCGTTTCTGCATGCAGGCCAACAGGATCCAAACTGTGCTGCTCCCCTCTCCCCCCCTCCGGCGGCCTCCCCTACCCATCCCCCCACTCCCCTACCCCCGGCTGCTGTTGTCATTAACCCCTGTCCACCCGGGCAGCACGGTCATGTTCAGACACTTTGTGGTGCTGAAAAATCCATTATTTACATCTGCCGTAGAAGCGGCAAAACAAACAGATGACACAAAACCTCATGCAATTACGTCTAAGCCTGCAGGCAGCGATGGCCTGAGAGGATCAACGGCAAAAACACACAACCACCCTCCACTGACTTTTTAAACACATACAGAAAGAGTGGAGCTACAAGAATGTTATGTGGAAATGGTAAAGAAAGGCATCGGCTTTGCTCTGGTCAAAGAAAAATCCTGTTAGTTGCTACACTAACGATGTTTACGCGTGCTTAGCTTGCAGATCTGGTATTTTCGACAGACACCTGAGGGCAGCGTGATGATAATTCAAACAGTCGGTCACTGTCAGCTTGGCAAATGTAAGCAGGACTGTAGCTAATTAAAACCAGCAGGGGGAAGAGGGAGCCCGTATATGGGCCGCTACAACGCAGGACCCAACCTAACAAGGATGCAATTTCAATATTTTCTCATGACTTTTTAGTGAACTGAACTGATGAGAAGCCCCTGCAGGGGAGACAGCTCCACAAAAGATGGAGCTTGCAAAAGGCAAGACAAACACCAGGAGAGGGGGGAAAAAAAGTGATTTGTTCTCTATCACAACCCAGGTTCCTGAATAAATACCACCCCTCCCTCATTTACTTTGAACCCTTTCTTCCATTCTCCAGGAGACCCAAGAGAGTCGGCGCAGGTCATCTTCTCCTCGTTATTATCGTGAGGGGGAACCTGTGCAGGGACACTAAACAATGGTGCACTATGTGCTGCATCTGACCTATACCCACCCCCTTAACACTGCCAGCCATTAGCCCCCAGACTGCATTCAAATCAGCACATAAGTCTTTGTTCAGTCTGATGTTGATCTTCATTGTCATGCACACAAAATCCACGGCAAAACAAACCTTTTTTTTCCCAGGGACTCAAACCCATGTTCGTTAACAAGGTTTTTATCAAAGTAAGAGGATATATTTAACAACTTGAAGGTAAAGAAAAAGTCTACATAGGGCAAAAAACACTGGCAGATGGTTTTCACCAACAGGAAACCCAGGCCCACACTATAAGGTAGGATTAGTCATAATCAAGAGAAAGCCCTACAGATCGATGAGCTTGGCCTGACAGAAACATGAATACACACAAACACGCACAATCCAAATATTTCCTGAAATACACGGAGGAATCCTGCCTTTAAGTCGTGATTAAGTGATGAATAGTTCCAGTGTTTCGACCCGTTCTTACAGGTCATCTGGACCCATGATGCACACCGGCTCTCACAAAGGTTCAAACTACCCTCGGTGCAGTTTAGTCCGCCCAAACTCCTCATTGCAAACAATGGAGCAGCATCCGGGCTGCCCACCGCCGATAAAAACATCCACAGCTAAGCGCAAACACTTCTAGCACACTTGTACTTCTGGTCGCCGGAGTGCTGTCGCTTCTCCGTCTGTTCCCATTTACAGGGCGACTTTTTTTTCTTTTCTTTTTTTTTTAAACGTAGGAGCTTTGGCTTCACTAGCCCGGGACTAGGCGCAAACCAACAGCAGGGCCGCTCTCAGGAACGTTACCCGTTTGCGGAGGATGGATGCCATTGCTAAAGCTATTAACGTACTAGCCGAATGACCATCATAACCGCGGTCCGCTTCTATCGGGAGCCGCCAGACGACGGACCGGTTTTCGTGGCTAGGCGGGAAAACGGCGGGGGCCGCGCGAGCGCCAGGGCTCGCGAGGTTCTCGTTACCTGCGGAGAAACGTTCAATGAAACGCGGTGTCGCTGAACACCTCGGCTCGGTGTTTGCAGACAGTTAGCCTCGCTGCTAGCCGGAGCGGCTGGATACGGGGGGGGGAGGTCCAGCGCCGCCGTGGATAATTCCCTCCCGAGATGCGAAACAGGGCGGCGTAGCAACTGGAAGCGAGACGCTCCCGCTAATTCCCACCGGTTACAGTCGACTTGCAAGTTCAGCGCTCGTGTTTTTAGGAGTCATTTGTGAGGAGAACGGTGATACCTATGCTCTGATACCACAGGACCCTTTGTTCCTGCCAGCCGAGACACGAACAAACGGAGGCCCCGCCTCCTGCAGGCTCCTCCGCCCATCCCGACTCTCAGACCCGGACAAAAACAGGGCCCCCTCCCTCAAAGGGGCCCCCAATTTGTTTTGTCTGGGACACATTAGTGGCCCACTGGTCCCCAGCGTGGCACAAGGTGGGTCCCCTTTGAGAGAGTCAGGGTCAACATTACACACAATTAATCTGACCCCACAGCGACGACGGACTGGAACTAAGTATTTCTACTGAAGTGATTATGATAAGAACACATTAAAGCATGCTTTAAACCTGATTCAGACGCGTCTTTACACTTTTTACTTTTTATTCTTGTCGGAGAATACCTCAAAGGAATGCTTTGGGCTTTACCCTTAGAGATCTACCTCACACAGTACATTAAAACGTATATACAAATTGCTGTTTTTTGCATAAGCTTCCAAAAAATTTAAGTAAGTTTAAAGAAACATTTCTTCTCTATACCCAAACAAAGAGTGTGAACACTTCCTCTGTCACTGTTGCACTTTCTGACAGTATTCCACCTTTTATCAGCTTGTCCTTCATTTATTTTCTTACATAAACAATTGAAACAAAGCTAAATGCTTCACGCTGCCATAAACTGCACAATTCTTTCACTAAAAATGTCCAATATATGCTGTTTAAGACATTCAAGAGTAATTTTCAATATATCCTCCATCAAACCAAGGGGGGGTCATTTATGAAAACTTTATTTACCATTCAGAAAATCTATGATACTATCTAAATAGGTCACTTAATTCAAGAGAACTTTGCAAAGGCTTTTAAAGATGATTGACTTGTGTGATGCCTCTTATCCTGCAGACCACAGCACTGAGCCTTTCTTCCCCTCAAATTATGTAAGGTTATATAACCTGCAGCCTCACTTTCAATCAATATCCACTCTAATGTTTACAAGCAGTATGTTTGGAGGCGAGAGAACCTTCTGTGGTCTCCAACTGCATTTAAAGCTCATTTGTTGAGGCTTTAATTTGAGCTGCCAGTCAGCCTGTGTGGAGCTGAGGGACACAAGCACAGCAATAGACTTCATATGGTAAACACATCCGACCCACAACAATCGCTCTCACCGAATAAAGCTCACTTCAAGTGTACGGCAGAGTGGAGAGCTAAATGCAAATTAGAGCATTTGTTTATTTAGGGACTGAAAAGCATTAAGTCAAATGAAAGTACCGTTTTGAATGGCAATAAAGTATAACTGGAGCTCATAAATAAAAGACGTAGAAATACTTATGTCCTTCATCTACTCTGAAACTAAGGAACGCTTCAGAAATTATAACTGCAATATTGTTGATAATTACAATAATTTCCTCATGACCAATTGCCGGTCCAACAGAGTCCAAAAGAACCAGTCAAACAGAGCTGGTCACAGAAATGTTGCAGAGGAAAACGTTTGTAACCACGAATTACACCCTGAGCAGAAAAAAGACATTACCTACACCTGTAATAATCTGTTCATGCTTTGCTGATTAATAATAAGAGCCAGTTAATAACCTCTCAAAAGATACAGCATAAGCAACTTTGGCAGGCAAGCATGAGCTTTTGCGCTCACCTCACAGATAGTTTGTGTCATAAGTCCATTTCTCATACCGGTAGAAAATATCTCTAAAAATTGGTGAGATCTGTCTGTGTCCTTAACAACATTTTTAACTAACCTTCTAATTTCTCATTTGTGGCTTGAACGTTTGATAATATCATACAGTCAAACTTTATGATACATAAGTTCATGCACAGTATCATCAAATCTATTAAGACATGATTTATATCTTTATTGTTGTTATGATTAGATTTTTCATACTCTCTGCTCAGCTGAAGTATTTTTTCTGCATCATTTGTCTAAATTATTAAAAGGATTCAACTTAAAAATTACATCATAAAAAAAACGCTTACATTTACAGGGAAGAAAGAATAAATTCCTTTAGTTTGACTTTAATGTTTCCCATACTGAAACCCTGTTTACTGAAATGATGTTCAGAGGTGGAAGGTCTAAAGATGGGGTTTGGTGTCTCCCTCTGCTGGTAAGTACTGGAAACAACTTACAAACAGAAATAGTACATGAAAAAATAATTAAAGATATCATGGAGTTTTAACAGTAATTAAATAAATTTAGTTTAATCTTGCCATGTGGAAGAGTTTGCACTATACTAGACGCGTATCCATAAAACAAATTAAGTTGGATCAAATTAGTGTTGACTCTTGGCCAAAGGGAAAATGGGAGATTGCTTCCACTGCAGGAATGTTTGATTCCTATATTTAATCTCTATTCAGCCAGAGTTACATTTAGTACACTTACAGGGTATCTGACAAGTATAGGGCTGGCAGACAGTGATGACTCCAATTTCAGTTCCTGGAAAACTGCTCTGGTACCAAGTGAGATCAGCTGTGCCCTCTTATATACATAGATTATT